CAAGTTCATCATATTCAAGTTTTTTATCATCAGTCATAGTAGCAGGAAATTCACATAGCCTTAGCCACTTTCTGTTGAACTAAGACCCCTCTCATTTTTTGTTGTCAAATGGGGAAATCCCCTTTTCCATTAAACATTCCAAGTTCAAATGTTGCTATTATCATTTGAAGTTTTTAATCGACACAAAGAATTTTTGAGGTCACAGTTCTACAGAAAAACAGTAAACATATATTTCAAAATAACCAATTTATAGTCACACAGATCACAATATAAACCAAAACGGGAATTAAGAAATATTCAAACTGAAAAACAGGCTATCAATCCAATGAAAACAAAAAACTAACAGGATGTTAAGCAGTTTAAAGTTATAGTAAATCGATAAAGTTCAGCAATAAGTTTAAAAACAGCCAACAATCACAACAAAAAATTCACAAAGAATATGGTACTATCTAACACATTGATCAAAGAGCTAAGATACCAACAAATCATAGGAGAAAACAGGGGGGAATCACAATATTCAAGATACAGTAGTAACATAATCAAGAAACAATGGAAATAAGGGGGTTAGAATGGTTTCACCGAGCTAGTTGGAACAATCAACACCAAGAACAAGAAATTGGGGACTCTGTAGAGTACCTAGCTAGCAGTCCAATCCTCCAATTCATTCACCAAGAACAAATTCCTCAAAAGAATCACAAACAGAGAACCAATTAGTAGCCAATTCAAAACAATAAAGAAGAATTAGGGTTTACTGCAATTAAATCGAGAAAAAAAAAATCGAATGTGAAAACAGGACCTTAATTTTTTCCGTGACCAAATCTTGATCGAAGGCTCCTCACACCCTCAACAGCGCTCTGATACCACTTGTAAGGATATGAGCTCAAGAACACGCGGAAGCAGTCAAGCATTCACCAAGAATACCAAATTCAGATTAACACAAAGAAGAATCGAATGTTACAATGGGCTCAGAAACAAATCTGTACAATATAGAATCGGCCTCAAAATACCCAAACCCTAA